CTCGGACCCGGCCGAGGACTTATTCCCAGCGGACGCTAATAGGAACTGCTCGGCATGCCAAGGGGAGCAACACCCCAGTGCCACATGCGACCCACGAGTCGGAGGCACAACTATTCCTTCGGTCAGTGGAGGCTACGCAAGCAGATTTAAGGCTGTATTCGGCTAGAAAGAGTTCATTCTCTTCTTTAATATTTTCTACATAGCTTATGTAACACGAGGCAAAAATCTCATTGCACGGGAGAGGAAAGGTCTCCAAAGTGCTTTCTTAATACTATTCTTCATATAGCTTACTGTCAGTGTATATACACAGGGGTGTCTGTACTGAAAATTGCTAACCGTGATTCTCAACCTCTCATCACAATGATCCTTCCTCACTCTCTCTCCAACTCCGCACTTGTTGGGCTGTTCATGGTATTCCTCGGGGAATTCCGATGCCGCTCCACAGGAGACTCAAAAGGAAAACGCATTCACTGCCACCCACTTTGGGAGAGGCTTGGCTGCAGAGAAAACGGCGTTCCTGGAGCTGAAGGGTAGCTGGGAAACCCGTCGGGCGCAGCAGGGTAGCTGTCCAGGGCCGAGGCGGAGTGGACCTGACCCGGACAAGAGCAAGAAGGGCAGCAGGTTAGCAGGCGCTGGCGGCAGCAGGCCACTCTGGGCATGTCCTCCCCGCATGGCACAAGAGAGCAAAGCAACACCACTCTGGGGCAGGAGAAGGCCTGCTCGGCTTCTTGAAATTTTCAACAAGTGCTTGAATGTCTTCAAGGTGGCCTATGGACACACCACTCAAGTATCTAACAGTCTGCCAGGGAGCGGGAACCCTGACAGCAAATGTGCCCCAGGGGTCTGTTATTGTAGCATACATTGCCGAAGAGAAATCAAAATTTAAGGCACTTGGATAACGTTATCATTTTAGTAATTCTTTAAAATGAGCTTCAAACTCTACATAAGCAGAAACTAGCACTGTGCAGGCCTGATCTGACCCTACTGGCACATGGTCGATTTTGACAGTGACACCCCCACCCCGCATTCCGCTAGGCCGGGACAGAACTGCATTTTGGGCTTCGGGAACTGTGAATCTTGACCACCATAGGCAATTTCATCTTTCTCTGAGGAAGCATCTGGTGGGCGTTGAACTGCTGACCAATGCCACCGAGGTTCCTTGCTATGATGTGCACTTGCTTCCACAACAGCCTTCTGAGACCAATATCATTTGCAAATCTGGGAGGGCTAAGGGTCACCCTTCAGCCATTCCGGTGAGAGCCACTTTCCCAGTGTTGGTCTATCACAATGATTGTCACCGCTCCGCTGGGGCTGGCAGCCATGGAGTTGCCCCCAGCTCGTGACCATGCCACACACAAGATTGGACCACTGGGTTTTTACCGGCTGTTTTCCTAGTTTGCCAAGCCATTCTTCCGAAACCTGTCTTAACACCACGGCAGCGTGCACAAGCTGGGTGAGGGCAGGACTTGGGTATACTGGCTGGGCAGCAAAGCCAGCCCAGGTCCGCTAGCGGGTGAGTCCGCAGTGGAACGAGCCCTGCGGCTGCAGGCCGTCGGCAGGGCAGCTCACCACCCAGCCCACCCACCACTGGACTCCCGCTTACCTGCTGCAACAAGGCCGACTGGGCGGCTGCGTTATGCTGCAGTTCTTGCAAAGAGGGCTGTGAAGGATTCTGGGAAAACCCTGGGATACCCGGGAGCGACAGAAGGCCTGGAAAAACAGAGCTGCCCGCAGCTTGGATTCCGGATGAGAGTCTGTAACAGCAGACAGAAAAGCAGGTGAGACGGCAGGAAAGACGTCTTTAAGAGATACATTGCTCTGAGTAGCCAGATACCATCGTGAGGGGGTTAAAAAGACAAACCTGGAATTCGGTCGGCAGGAAACACAAAAGTGATCTATGCCAACTACTCATCCATGTACAACTTACTTTCCACGCGGAAAACAGCCCTTTCCGAAGCCAGCTAGTCTAGTCTTTTTTTTCTTCTTTTTTCCAGCTAGTCTAGTTTTAAGGTAAGTTGTTGAAACTTTGGAAATTAAGAGAACATGCACTTACTTTTACGTATTTACGGTCACGTAAGTTAGACCATAAAACATGTTGAGTAATGATGCTTCAGACAAGGAAAATATGTAATTCAGTAAATTATAACTAGCTTTTAATTTGAGTAATTAAAAAAGACCTTGAACTTCCAAGAAAAAAAAAAGCCCTTCCAAAGCAGCCACCTACCCGGCCTGCGCCACCAGGGCGGAGTTGAAGTTGGAACTGAAGGCCGACGCGAACCCGGGGAGGACGGGGGCAGGCGACGGGGCGGTGGCGGCGACGGGCAGCGGGGTGACCGCCGCCACCGTGGAGGGCGCCTGCAGCCCCGGGAAGGACGGGAGAGCGGGGGCGGCGCTGGGGGCACTGGCGGCAGAAAAGCCGGGGTAGGAAGGATTCGAGGAGGGCAGCGGCCCCTGGGCGACAGAGAAGAGGGAGGGGACGGCGGTGGACAGGTTGAGGGGGAAGGAGGCGGCCGAGGTGGGTGCCGAGGCCGAGAGCCCCGCAGCCGTGCAGCTGGGGTGGGGGCGGGACGGCGCCGTGGAGGTCACTGCCAGCGGGAAGCTGCTGGCGAGCGAAGTAAAGGGAGGCAGGGCGGTGAACACGGGCGCGATGGCGGCCGAGGAGCCGTGGGGCGGCAGGGCGATGGCGGAGAGCGGGTTGGCCCCGTTCAAGGGCGTGCTCAGACTCGACAGCCCAGACAGGGCGGGGTTAAGGCAAGTGGGCAGGCTGATGGGCGCCGACGTGGACGCGTACGTCCGGCCCAGGGAGCCGGGCAGGCCCAGCGCGCCATGCGACGGGTTAAGGGAGTGGGGCGGGCCCTTGAAGGCGGAGGGGGTGGGGCTGGTGGGCTCTGTTTTGATCAGGACGGAATGCGTGCTGGCAGCAGCAGAGGATGAGACGTGCAGGTCCGTGGGGCCGGGGTGGGGGCCGTGCAGAAGGGGCGTGGAGGAACCACAGCTGGCGGGCACGGGCGTGGAGGCGGCGGTGGCAGTCGCCAAGGAGGATGGGGAGGGCAGCGGGCAGGGGGTGGCCGTGGAGTTGGCGGCCGGTGAGGGTAGGCCTGGGAAGAGAGCCAGGCCAGGTGTGGTGGACCTCTGTGTCGAGGCTGCGGGGTAGCACTTGCCCGGAGCCGCGGGGGGTGCGTCTGGGGTCCGGTTGCTAAGAGATGGTAAGGCGGCCAGCCCGCTGGTGGCAGCAGGGGAGCTGAGACTGGTGTCAGTGGAGGTCAAGAAGCCTTTCAGAGCGGACAGGAGAGGGCTGTTGACAGCCAGGGGGCTGGCTGCGGACCTGCCCGCGATGACAGAAGGGGTGGGGTTGGCCACCCCTTGGGACGCTGGTGCCAAGGGCAGCCCTGCAAAGCCGGAGGACAGGGCAGCAGCAGAGGAGGTGGCAGCAAAGGGGTGGCTGGAGAAAGGCCCCGACGTAGAAGCAAACGTCTCACTGGTGGCTGGAGTGGCCCGAGGGGCAGATGCTGTCGGAGCGGCTGGGGTGGGGGTGGCTGAAGGGCCTGGCGGTGGGACCAGGCCAGGAAAAGCCGACGGGGCAGGGGTAGATGCTGTGCTGTGGATGGAGGTGGCAGGCATGGCGGGCAAGGATGGGGTTCGGATGACACTTGGATTGGGCGCCGATGGCTGAGAAGTATGAACAGCTGAGGAGACCTGCCCTGGGAACACGGGGAGGACAGTGTGGCCAGTGTTGGGCAGGCTCGTCCCAGGAGTGGTGGCGGTGGCTGATGCGGAAAGATGGCTGGCAGCCTTGACAGGGGAGGCAGTCGGCGCTGGAGTTGCAGCAGGTGTGGAAGGGTTAGACCCATGAGGAGAAAAGAGCTGACTGGCTGGCGTAGAAAACGCTGTGAGAAAAGAGACATGAAATGAATGCCATGCTGGAACGTCCAAGTTTTACCCAGAAACACACACACATTCGTCATGGTTAACAAACAGCAGAAGGAAATCACAGCTCTCACAAGGTACTGCAGTAAGTGCATCACTGCACGCCACTCCTAGAATCTTCAACACAGCACCCCAGCCCGCCGAGTCCCCACACGGGAAGTTCCCTGTGCTGCCGATACTTTCACGGAAGCACGTGGACTGCAAAGTTATAAAAACTTCTTCGCCATAGCCAAACACCTCGAAGGACTGAGTCACCTGGAGGGCCTGAGCAGTCCACAAAGACAGTGCTTTATATTCTATTGTGATGAGTTAGCAATTGGGGGTTTAAAAGCTTGTGACTGGCTGTCTAAGGTGCAATGATTGGTCTTTCCTCAAGAGCAAAGGGTGAAAAAAAAAATCAGACAATTGACCACACGAGTGTCAGTCAGTCTTGCGTCCCAGAGAACAGAAGTCCAGGGTACCTACGTATCATACCAACTGCTCTGAAAGAGATGGCATTAGAAGGCTCTGGACAGAGGGGAAGAAACTCAAGGTTCTCAAAGAGACCAGGTGGAACACCTGACTAGGGATAGTTCTTAGTCCTCCTTGAGGTATGGAACAGTTGAACAGTTGAACGATGCAGGAAGCACCAAGAGATGGAAAGAACAGTCACTGCTCTAGTCGACAGTCCACCATTTCAGGAGGCAGGTAGCATCTGAGCGAGAACCAATGGTGCCGAGGGAAGAAGTTCAATCTGCATTCAATGCATTACGCCCAAAACAAAGCTCCAGAAATTGACAGAATTCCCACTGAAATGTTTCAGAAAGCCAAGGAAGCACTGGAAGTACTCACTCGTCTATGCCAGGAAATCTGGAAGGCAGAACAGATCCGTATTTGTGCCCGCTCCAAAGGAAGGTGACCCAGCAGGATGCTCAGACTATAGAACGGTATCACTGATATCCCACACAAGTAAAACTGTGCTCAAGACCATTCAACAAGAATTGCAGCCGTACACTGACAAGGAGATCATTGCTGATGTTAGAGGGATTGTGGCTCCAAGCAGAGAATACCCAGAAAGACATTTACGTGTGTTTCATTGACTGTGGACCACAATAAACTGGATCACCTTGAGAAACATAGGAGTTCCAGAACACTTCTTTGTGCTCATGAAGAACGTGTATGTGCATCTAGAGGCAGATGTACAAACAGAACAAGGGAATAAGACATGGTTTAAAATTTAAAAAAAGGTGTATGTCAAGGCTGTATCCTGACTATACTTATTCAATCTTTATGTGAAGCAAATCACCAGAGAAGCTGGATTATGTGAAGAAGAGTGCGGCATCAGGATTGGAGGAAGGCTTATTAACAACCTGCGATGTGCAGACGACACAACCTTGCTTGCTGAAAGTGAGGAGGAATTGAAGCATTTGCTAATGAGTATAACTCATATGCATGTGAAAACTGGTCATAGAATAAGAACACGGAATAGATGCATTTGGATCATGGTGCTGGAGAAGAATATTAAAAGTACCATGGACTGTGAAAAGGACAAATCCATCTGTACTGGAAGGAGGCCAGCACGCTCCGTAGAAGCAAGGATGGCAAGACTTTGTCTTACATCCTTTGGGCATATCGTCATCTTGAGAGACCAGTCCTGGAGAAGGACATCATGTCTGGTAAAAGAGGAAAGGCCCCAATAAGGTGGCCTGACAGTGGCTGTCCAGTGTCCATGGGCTCAGGCACAGAGATGACTGAGGATGGCGCGGGGCAGTGCGGCGTTTCATTCAGTTGTGCATCGGGTCACTGTGGGTTGGAGCCGCCTCGATGGCACCTAACAAACCACACATGCAGGCCGGCGCGGAAGAACCGCCCATTTGAAATGAGAGAAAGCATCGTCCCAACGACCAAGTTCAGAAGGGTGGGCAGGAGTGGGGATGGAGAACACGGAAAGGGAAGGGCGGGCAGGAGTGGGGATGGAGAACACGGAAAGGGAAGGGCGAGCAGGAGTGGGGATGGAGAACACGGAAAGGGGCAGAGAAATGCCCCACACTGTGCAGTCTGCAGCCAATGACAGAAAGCAAAGTGTGTAGGAATCACTGAATGGAAATCTAATTTGCTCTGTAAAGGTTTACCAAATCCTCTTCTCACACACAAACATTTTATCTGTCAGACCCTGCGCTAAATGTTTTACATGTAGCCTTTCATTTTTCTCACAATGACACTTTGAGATAGTTACCTCCCATTTTAGAGATGGGCAATCTGAGGGTATAGGATCCCTGGGGACATACTGGTTTCATACTGGGCTGCTAACCTCAAGGTCAGTAGTTTGAGACCACTCACTGCTTCGTGCAGGTGAAAGACAAGGCTTTCTACTCTCATAAAGACTTAGTCTCAGAACCCCATTAGGTCACTGTGAGTTGGAATCAACTCCCTGGCAATGAGTTTGGTTTGGTTGTTCAATCTGCAGTGTGGAGTGGTAGAGAAACCTGCTATAGACAGTGCAGCCTTTAAACCAGGGGTCCTCAAACTTTTACAACAGGGGGTGAGTTCACTGTCCCTCAGACTGTTGGAGGGCTGGACTATAGTTTACAAAAAACTATGAACAAAACCCTATGCACACTGCACATATCTTATTTTGAAGTAAAAACCAAAATGAGGCAAAAACACCAGCGGGCCGGATAAATGTCCTCAGCGGGCCGCAGTTTGAGGACCCCTGCGGTTTAAACAAACATCAGCGGCAGAGTCAGGATGTGGCCCTCAGACACTGCTGCAACCACTAGGAAACCCCAGCAGCTACTAGCCCTGGCAGTGCCATGGGCACTTAAAGACACCTACCCTGACCACTGCCTTCAAGAACTGATGTATTCATGCTGCTGGACAAAACGGCAGGGGTTTCCAGATCACACAGTACTTTTAATCTCTTTTTGAAGCGTTGCACTACCCGCCCAAGGCTACAACTTACCTGCTGCAGAGCACGCTAAGGAAAGAAACAATGGTAGAGTACTGCTGCCACCTGGAGGCGTCGTGCGGACCACACACCACCCCAAGAGTCAATTCCATTTTCGGCTTAACCAAAACTCAAACTAAGCTCATGGCCACTGACCTGATGCTAATTACAGCGACCTATAGGTCAGGGTAGAACTGCTCATGTGTCTTTATTTACAACACTGTACTCTTTACACCCGTAGAAAGCCTCATCGTTCTCTGAGGAGTGGCTGGTGGCTTTGAGCTGCTGACCCTGCAATAAGTGGCTCAATGCGTGCGTAGCCCACTAGGGCTCCTCAGAATAAGCTGCAAGCAACATAAAAGAGGGCATAAAGTTGTACGCTCAATTAAATACAGCTAACGTGCACTTCATGCCATGCTAATAAAATGCATCACTCTCTAACTACTTTTAGCAGGTATTAATTGACTAGAGGTAGACTTTCCTACCAGGAATTTTTCTTAAAACACAAGAATTCAAATACACTCAGCTCCAAGTGAGGAAACCGTAACAGACAAGGTCTCTAGGCCACACTTAGTGCTTACCTTGATGCTGGGCAGCTTTTGACTGACTGGAAAGGTCTTCATTTTCTATATAAAAAGAAATAAAGGTTGATTTCAGTTTTAGTCAAATCATTAACTACCATATTAATCAGAGATGAGACAAAATGGAAAATCCAAGATATACATATGGACGGGACACTGCTTGAAAATCTTAAAAACACCTCAAACCAGTGAGGTTTGAAATAAGCACTGTTATCTTACGTGCAGAGACCTTTAAGAATACTTTCTGGACAGATGATGGTCTCAGCCCCAAGGCTAGCCTTTGGGGGAGCTACATGGGGCTGCTGCCTACTGACAAACCCACTACTGCCCGAGGGTGTCCAATGCAGTGACCACGGCAAATGGGAGAAACCTGCACTTGCCCCGTGGTCCGCAGCTGTGAAAAGGGTCCAGCGTTAGAGCTGACAAGAAAAGCAACCCTGTTTGAGACCCTCCCTGGCCCCGCCCCCTCCTGACACAGTCGGGGGAGAAGGGACCTGTCTAACCAGTCAGCAACTAATGACTGCCTATAAAGCTAACATGTGACAGACAGACCTCAGGGCAAAGATAAAGGAGTCATTGCAGGGCCGACCTGGCCTGGCTTGGCCAAGGACCAACAAGCACAAAACTCGAACAGATGGGGTCTGCCAATGGGGAGTCAATGCAAGAAAAAACAACTTAAACCTATAATGATGTACAAGCTACGGTGCTACCTCACATAACTGGGAGAGGAAATTCCATATGATTCAGCAATACTTCTGCTGGACATACATCCTAAAGAATTAGAGTCATAACACGAACAGACACATACACATCTTCATTCATTGCAGCACTGCTCACAATAATAGCAAGAAGCTGGAAACAGCCCAGATGCCCACTATAAGAATGGATAAAGAAATTTTGTTGTGTACACACACACACACACACACACACACACACACACAATCAGTCGAGAAGGTGATTAGATGTCAGGGCAGTTTTGAAATACGACAACCATGAATCTTCTTGGTAAGCATCCAGAAAGATACCACGTTTCTAATAAAGGGAAACGGCGTGGAATTTAGAAGCCAACCAACGAACTAAGGAAACAACACTTAAAAAACAATTTACAAATAAAAACTGAAAATAAAAATACTGGCCAAATACTTTCTGTGGGATGAAAACCAAAAGGAGTTAGGGATCAGGTGCATCAGAGGGCCTAAGAAAAAGGCAGTTGTACAGTCAGAGTCCAGGAGTCCTAGCGGGTAGGGTTGTGAGCTGGGCTGTTGACGACCAGGTCAGCAGTCTGAAACCACACTGCTCCTCGGGAGAGAGCGCTACCGTCTTGGAAGCTGATAGGCACAGTTGCACCTGCCCTATGGCATACCTGTGAGTCGACACTACCCCGATGGCAGTGAGGGTGGGTTTGTCTAGTAAGAGCTAAGTCAGAGAATGGTATTTGATTACCTCAACTTTCAAGGAAAATCAGCAGCACACACTAGAATAGGAATTTTGTCAATAGTTAAAAAAACCCACCCAAACCCCACTTTCCCCTACTTGAGTAAGAAACACCTACAAAGACAGTATTACAATTACACAGAGGGCCTTCTGAAACGCTTCACAGCAAGCACAGCATCTTGTGAAGAACAAGCCACGATCTCCTCAAGGCAGCACCTTGAGGGAGAAGCGAGGAGACTGGACACCAGCACCTGTCATGCAGGCCAAGACTCCGTGCACACAAAGGCCGGTTCTCTGGGACAATGACCTAACGAGCTGCACAGTCACCGTTTAATTACAGAAAAGGGTATTAAAGGCCAGGTGAAAGAAACCATTTCGAAAAGTTAGAAAAACCAGGGAGGGAAAGCGGGGGAGGACTTTGCTTATGAAGTACCGTGTCAGCTCACTGGCACCCATCGATGGGACTGGGCGCAGCTGCTCCTGTGGGTTTCCGGGAGCAAGCTTTATGGGCGTGGGAGTACCTTATCTTTACCCTTCCACCCGGCTCCTCCCATCTGCATTTGATCTACTTCTTATCCTTTCTTTTGAAGATCCGGGTTGCACTTCCACACTCCACTGTGCCCTCCGAGTCTTTACTGGAGAAGGATTCTATCTGTAGTGTATCTGGGGAGCCCCTCCTCTGGGATCCGTACTACTAGTCCACCATATCTGTCCTCCACCCCCCAACTGCTCAGTTAGACAGCAGCTGTGTTACTGAATTGATACACGTTAAGAGATTACATATACAGCTTGCCTGCATGGCCTACAGCACTGGAACAATGTCACAGCACTTACCATCCCAACCAGAAATTGGGCAACTTAAGAATCGCTGAAGCAGCATATACTGAAACTGCCTTTTCTCATGTACAGAAGACCTAACCTGGCAGTGCAGGTGAAGTGTTGGCATTAACCTCAAGGTGGATGGTTTAAACTTGCCAGCCGCTCCACTGAACAAATACGAGGCCCTGTGCTCCTGTAAAGATGGACAGCTTCCAAAACCCCGGCGTCACCGAATGGGAATTTGCTCCATGACAGAGGGCTCCATTTTCTCCCCCTTTCACGTCTACCTCTTGCTAGACTGTAGGTAGACTTTGTTCACCGCCACATCCAGAGGACGGGACATGGAAAGCAAACAGAGTTCAATGAAACCGTTACTGAACACTACTACTAGTGAATGTCTTCCCATGTGACAGGCAAACGTAAGTCCAACGAGATCCACACACTGAGGACTCCCACGCAGCGCCCCAAGCACTGCAGACCAGTCTTCTCCCCAAGCACACGTCTGCACAAGTGAGCTAACGACCCTCAGTACCTGCCGCCCTTTACCTGTTCCCACTGGATTCGGAGTGTACGGTGGTGGAGGAGGGACACCCGGAGCTATGACATTGGCTAACGGTACCAGGCCTGCATTGTTAAAAGCACCTAAAGTAAAAACAGACATAGAGTTAGTTTCATAGTTTTCCGCAGCCAGGCGTTCAAAGGGCAGGCAGTCTTGTAGCTACATATACTTTGCAGATTGTTTCATGACTGGTGATTTCACTTGGAGGTTTGGCCTTAAGGGCAGATCAGTCATATATAAAAACGACCCTTCAGAGTCTCCTTCTGGAAAATCCTGTGAAACTGAGGCCAAATGGGAGAACTGGATTCAGTCTGGATTCCACTCACTGCAGGTCTAAGCTCGCTAAATAAAATGCACAGTGGGTGGCCCCACCTTACTTTGCTGCCAAGCACGTTCACCTGGCTTTTCTAAGTTAAAGGGATTAATGATGCCTCTTATTGAATACCAACCATGCAAAATAGCAATTCAAGAGGATTTCTATCAATTCACCAGTGAAAACTGGCAGTAATTATTAAATAAATTCCTGTTGGCAAATGCTGTTACATATTTACCGCTTCAGTCTATGAGAAAATTCCTGGATGAAAGGTCTGCTGCATGGCTGTGAGCCGGACAAGTAACAGCGACTCTGGGCCCAAAGGAACCCACCTCCCCCTTCCCGAGGGCTCCCACGGCGCCCCAACACGGACTTCCAGTTTAATAAGGAGGGAAGAGGGGCAGGGGAAGGAAGAAAGGAAACTGACCCCAGTCCTTCCCGAGGGCTCCAATGGCGCCCCAACACGGACTTCCAGTTTAATGAGAGAAGAAGGAGAGAGAGACAGACAGACAGACACACACACACTCTCCTTACTTGGTGCAATGGTTGCATGTGGCCGGCATGGAGGTATTGGATAAGGAACGGGTTTGTGTGGATTATATGTTGAAGGTGGCTAGATGGAGAGGAAAGTATTTTCGTTAAAAAATCAATCAAGTTGTCTCCTGACAAAATGTGCCTTTCTAAATATCTTGTCTGGATTATTGTCCATTAATATGGACGGCAGAATTTGTCAAAACGGGCCCAGCACGTCAGATCCCACTGGATGGACACAGGACACAGATAAGAGGATGGTCTTTGCTGTAGCTCCCGTGACCCCGAGCAAGCTCCCATGGCTGATTTTAAACACCTGCGGAGGTGGCATCCCTGGTGAAGGGTCAGTCCTCAGCCCCGCAGTGATGACGTCCCCTCAGACCCAGCGCGGTTTCGGTATCTTGGCTGCTCCCACCAACCTCCCTGGCAACACCCTCTGCGACTCATTACTCATCCCTTTATCACTTCCTCTCTCCACCTTACGGCAAGAAAGGGCGGTGCTAGCTCAAGCATTTGGCATTCGGCAACTCTCCCAGACTACAGATTGGAACAGCACTGCTTTTAGTTGTCATCCAGACTCCCAGGATGCACAATATACAGGGTTTTTCTGGTGGATTTCCTAGTCTGTCTGAGTCCGGAAGCTCTACAGACAGCCTGTTCAGCACTCTGGTGACATGCAAGCTCCACTGACAGATGGCTGGGCCCCAGGGGTGCACTAACCAGGAATCCAACCATGGTCTCACATGTGGAAGATGGGAATTCCACTAACGGACTGCCAGCACCCCGACTAGAATAAGGAGCTCAATTATTATTTGAAATAGCCACAACCCCCAAATGTTGAGTAGTGAAGGGAACATACACAAACTGAAAGTCCTCACAGAAACGGTGTTTAGAGTCTGGTCTCGAACCTAAGCTGAATGCTGCCCATTCTAACTACTGAGAGGCAGAGCCCTATGCAGGGACTCAGAACTCAGATTTCTGCACCTCTCACACGCCAGCCCTGTCTGGGGCACTATCCTTGTGCCAGGAATACGGAGTCTGTCATGCGGATAGCTAAGGACTGACTTTGAGGTGGCTGTGTTGGCCTCTGGTATGCCCACACCCCTCAATCCAGATGGTTGTCCATTTCTATCCAGTTGCCATTCCAGCCAGGCATTATGGTCATGCCTGTGAAACGATACTCAACCACTGCCTCCACGAACAGGAAGACGATCAGAAAGCCCCCGGCAATCTCCCATTATCTGTTACTAGTATTAAAACTGGGCAGATGAGCATCTTAGTTAAGGAACCCTCCTGATGCAGTGAGCTTAGGGTTAGGCTGCAAACTGCAGGGGTGGTAGCTTACACCCACGTGGGAGAACAATGTCGGCTCTCATCAAGATCGGAATACTAAATAACCTCAGGATCAGCTCTGTGCTGTCCAACAAGGCTGTCATGAGCGGATCAACTCGGCGGCAGTGAGCGGCAGGATCCATCTACAAAGACACTTCCTCGTGCCTCATATTTAAATGTGGCAGGACAGGACTTCATATCGCTCTCACGCGAAAGTCAAATATTTAACCCCGAAGGGGTCCTTAACACTGCTGACCAAGCACTGTACCGACACCTCTCTGTCATGCTGACTCCTCTAGAGTTTTTGCAGGTTTGGAATTTCACAACACAAAAACGATACATGTTTTGCTTTGTGTAGTTAGAAAAACCTAAGCAGGAGTCAAGACTTGCCGAAGCATTTATTTTCTAAACATACCGGTTTGGATGGTCCCAGGATCCGGGCGGCTATTCCTTTGCCTTCGTTGGTACACTCATCTCCATCCTTTTTCAAAGGGGTTCCCTAGTGTGTGTGTTTTTAAAAGACGCACAAAAAGAGAAGGTAATTCAGCCCAAAACGAAACCCAGACCAATCACCACCACCAACACACCCATAATGCACTGAAATAAACGAAAACTTGGCAGAAGCGTAGGGTTTTGCGTTCTAGACACGATTCTACCCAGGCTAATAGCAGGGCTAACCGGGCCTTCACCACCTTTATACCCTACAGAACATTCCTAATAAGAGTTAGTCAGAAGTACACCAGCAATCCACAAAGGGGAGAGGTAAGGGGGGCATACAGTAGGCTCTCCCTTGGGGGACGGTGAGGAGGGGTCTGCTAAAAGTAGCAGCCACAAATAAGACTTTTGTTGGCACCGCACATGCCTAAATAATCAGCTGAAATATGAGGGCTCTCCTTAACCATGAAGTGTGACTGCTTATATCAGACAAGAGCACGAACTCATGCCAAGATGGCTGCAGTGAACAGTAAAGACATAAGTTTACTGCCATGTGTACTTAAAATGGCACACATTTGTAAGGAAGCCACCTTCCAAGATGGTACCAATGTTCCTTGCTTCCTGTGTCCCTAGGGCAGTCCCGTCCCACAGTGCCCAGGGCTGGCCTGTGTAACACACAGGCGAGTGAGGAAACGAGGATGGTGGACATGTGAGAGTGCAGCATAGTGGCAGTGCAGCTGCCATGTGCCCTCTCTTGGATCACTTGTCTGTGCAGGAGGCGGGCCCTCGAGCAAAGTGAGCGCCCGGGAAGCATCGCCCTGAACTCCGATCCAGCCCTCAGGCGACTGGAGTCGCAGGAGAGCCTAAGCCAGAACCATGGGGGGGAGTCAGCCCCAGGTTTCTGGCCCACACCAACTGTAAAAGCTAGTAAATGGGAATTTCTATCTACTAAATCCGGGGGTTATTTGTGACAATGGAAATAAACCAACTTTGTAAGAGGAGCTTTACAAAGGGGTTCGAGGAACACTAGGCAGGGGTTGCAGGAGCCAATCCTTTCCCTCACAACTTGAACAGTTACTCGAGAGCCATAAATACATTTTTACAAACAAGTGAAATCACCATTATCTGAATAATACCCCTTAACACTTTCAATTTGACTTCAGAGCCACAAGTATGCAGACCACAAGCTCGCACATGGCTTAACAGATGACACAAATGGGTAACATCAAAATGTCTCTTTGGAGCATGCACCTTTCCAGAGTCTCTATTAATATAGGCAACGTGATTCTCCAAGACTGGATTGTTACACGCAGTTTCCCAAACACACTTAGCAGTGAAACCAGCTACAGAACGCAAAACATTTGAGGAATGCTGCTTTACTAAATGTCAATCAGTGCTTCTAAAATGAATGCAAGATAAAACAAAATAAAACAGAAAGCATCCTCTCTTCTGTGTGGCTTCTTTTCAGATTTCACACAAACCCTTTAATGCAGCTTAAACTTGGCCTTTCCATTAGTGGTCGACCTATGAATTGAGTTACTGATGTGAGAAAAATCCTTTCCATGGTGAAATCTTTGCCATGAGAAATTTCCTAAGTCATAAAATATGCTTACAGGAAAAATTCCATTTATGCGGCTCGGCTTTCCTTTGGGATATGGATTTCCTGGAATTGTTCCACAAGAAGATATCATAGCATGAGGAGCCTTGCAACCTCCCTTGAAAGCCTGTAACATGACAAACAGGAGGGTGGTAAAAATCCAAGTCTCCCACCCCCACCAAACTCAGAATCAAGCATTGTGGGTATTGAGAAGGCTAGCTAAGAAACATGTGTGGACAAACAGTATCACATTCACTCTGTTCATAGGTGAACATGACCAAAATCATTAAGGCAAATCATTTTACTTCAAAGGCATTATTAAACCGGCCACACATAATACTGTTAATGTTGCCAGAACTGACTCCTACACAAGATTATCTTCACAATGGACTTTGTAGATTGTGTGCAGCGAAGTCCATGCATCCTTTCCACTTCCTAAAAGTAACACTGCTCACTTCTACCCACACCACGCCCATGCTGCAGACAAGCAGAGAGGGCCGATTAGAAGAAACAGGTCGCCTCCCTGACCTGAAGAGCTCACAGCTCAGTGGAGAAAATACAAAGCAAAGTGGATGATCAAGTGTCCACAGGCGTGCTACTGAAAAAGCAAGAGCTATTTGCAGAACATAGTGCTACACACAATGTAATATACGTAACAAGGTGCACCAAGGGAAGGGGTTTAGTCTATCCTGCTTAAGTTGTAACATCTCGACTTCCAAGACACGTGGACACATCTCCAGTCATGCTCAATATTAATTAACTGATCCAAACACACTCTATTATAGAGCATGTATTCTGAATCCATACAGGAAAATTACAGTATATACAGTTATGCTAATTTTTATATAGTTTGCTACAGAGTCATATTAATGATAGGGTAAAGGAGGACTTGTTAGCAGCCCCATGCGTAGTAGCACACTACACTGTTAGCTAAACTACAGCTGAAAAAGAACCTTACCTATTTGTTCTGACTGAAAAATTCTTAAATATCCGAACAGTTCTTGTTCATAGCCAGGTGATGCCTGCCTGTGTAGCTAGCTAAAAGTTTATGTACAATGACACCCCTCTCCTGTGAATTTCATCAACACAAGTACATGGCAGAGCAAAATTTCAACGTCTAAAATTTACCTGTTCAAGAACTCTCTTACAGCGTTTCTTCTCTGACATACTTATCCGGAATAAATCTTCAATGGGCCGAGAATTCTGTGCATCCACAATGTTTCTACCAAGGAAACACAAATTAAATTAGCATTTAAAAATCTGGATAATATGCAGGAGAGCAACTTTTGTTTACACACAAAGGTATCTGAACGAGTGCTTCTCTATTACACTGGAAGAAATAGTTAATATTTATTTTCCCCCTATCACAGGAAACATAAATGTCCTCTTTATCAACAGCTATAAAAAATATGTAACTCAAGCTATATAGTATAAATAAAAACCACTACTTGAATAGATACCCTACCTCTCCACAGGAGTGCTGAGAGAAAGGAGGAGGTAGAATGAAACCCTGTATCAAAAACCTAACAGTCATGGTTGATATAAAATTGAAGTTCCATCTTATTCTTTAGTTTACTGTTGCCCCTTTGTGGACATCTATCTGTACTTGAGGGATTTGAAAATGTGCCTTTTTCTTTTCTTTGCATTTATATTCATTGATCTTTGATCAGACGCTTGCTAGCTAGTTTCACACACCTCACAGGATTTAAAATTCACACACATCAGACCAAGTAGGTGAGAGTCTAACTTCTGCATGTGAGGAACATAAGACCCATAGAGTACGTGTCTTGCCACAAAAATTTTGTCTCTAAGTCCCACGTCTTTGACAGAGCGGCTTTCCTGTGACTCAGAATAGACAGAGCAGCAAGTTACTGAAATGCACGCAAACTCCTGATTGTGAAAAGCACCCTATTTTCTAAATTATAACCGTGTCTCAGAAGTCCTCTCTTAATTCACCTGCTTTCATAAAGCAGACGACCGTTCACTGCTGAAGTCTAACCGGTGAACACGCACCGATGAGTTAACAGACAGTTCACGTCTTCAAATCTTTTCTCCAATGGAGACCAAAGGCAACGAAATACTTACGAAGCCAACAGTTCCAGAGCAACGAGTTTGTCTTTACTGAAGGTGAAGCAGTTGAGTATATTGACCACTTCTGCTGGATGAACAGCCACCATTTTCTAAAAACAATAAAATGACTTGGAGCATGAGACAGTTCATGTCAAAGACCTAATTTAGGGAAAGTACAGTTAAGGTTAACACTCACATTTTAGGTGAAAACGACTTAGTCAAAAGCAAGTGCTAAAAGTGCATGTTTTGGGCTCAAGCACTGTCAATGTACGTGTAAGATCTTAATTCTACGAACTCTCTTTTTACCCAGTTTTCAATGTGTTCACGTACAGAGCAACCAAGAAACCCTTGGACGAGGCTAAGTCAAAAGGTGATGTTTGCGCACTTGGAGGACTATCCTACTCAAGGAGTTGGGGGAAAACGAACACTCCTCTATCCGGAGACTCAGCACACAATAGAGACCAGCATCTCCCAAAGTGGGACCCACATAGCATTACACACACACAAAGGAACAGTCACGGGAGTCAGGGGAGGGCTGGGCTGGGCTGAACGGTTCCCGAGGCACAAAACTTTCTTTGAGTTGTATGTTAATGTGCACTGCGACTCGAGACTGTGGAATGCCAGATTTGAAGGCATTTTATTTTGAAAAACACCTTGAGAATCTGGCCAACTTATAGATTTACGTTAACAGTAAAGACAACTCCAATGCAAAGTAACTACAAGCCAGATGGATCAGTATCAATACCTCAACATTCCTAAAACCTCAAGCAGTGTTTCCCCCCAATACTTTATTCTGGTACAAACAAAAGCACTGATAAAAAATGTTCAACTTTGCATCTAAACATTTTATAGATATTAAGATGTTCTCAAAAGATCCATTTCTTAGTAGGCCCACTCCACACTCGCCCCACCCACCATGTGGTAGCTTCCAAAGACCAGGAGGTGATGTGAACATAGATGATCTCCACAGACCACACTGGAGAATGCCATCGGCACACAGCTGCCAAGCCAGGGAAAACCAAGGCCCTGTCCAGCTGAGACATAACTCCAACCACACAGCCGCCATTCCTCTCGACCTCACTCTCGACTTCAGTCACTGCCAGATGTATGCTGCTAATGTGCAAGTAAAATACTTGGGACACTGGACCTTTACTACTGTTGTAAATGAAAAGTTCTAGCCCACGAGGCAGTCGCTGAGTGTTGGTATATGCGTTCCTCCATCTGCATAGTGAGCTGGCCACTGCCACGAGTCAGCTCCATTCACGGAGCCTTTACGGAGCTTCCTGCGGTTGCTGAGGTCTTCACTGCAGCAGGCAGCCTCAGCGGTCGTCCATGGAGGAGCTGGTGGGTCTGAACTGACATCGCTTTGGCTAGCAACCCAGTGAGCCACAAATGTTGCGACTAGCTACCATACTGGACATTCAGAAATAATACATTCCCATCATTTAAAAAGTCCATCTGAGGAGTGCATATCTAGGGAATTTATGTATGAATCCATCTCACATTTCTAAAAAAGTATTCAAAAACAGAAGGAAGTACCTAAGAACTCTTAAAATTTAAAAATGTTTAGGTTTAAAAATGTTAGGTTGTCAAGGACTTCAATTTACTTAAACTTTCAATTAATGTTTCTAGAAGCTGAGGTCAGGAAATAATCGGGCAATGCTGCTGCACAAGACCTCTTTGAAGTGTTAAAGAACAAAGAGGCAACTTTGAGGACTCGTCAGTCACTACATCTACATGGGAAAGCCAGACGATAAATAGGGAAGACCAGAGAACGGATGCATCTGAATTAGGATCCTGGCGAGCCAACTGGAAGCACCACTGGCTGGCAGAAGAACAAACAAATTTGTCTTGGATGAAGTTCAACTGGAATGTTCTTGGAAGTGAGTATGACAGACTGCAGCTCGTACACTGCACAGGCTGTCAGCAGAGTCCAGCCCTGGGAAGGGCGGCATCCTTGGTCAACAGGAAGGGCAGTGGAGAAAAGGGAAGACCCGCAGGGAGCTGAACTGCCCTTGGCTGAATCCATGGGCTCAAATAGCGCAGTGCCTGTGAGGAGGGGCAGGAACCGCTCAGCAGTGGCTGGTCCACTGCATCCAAGGTCCCTGAGAGCTGAAGCCAACTCAATGGCATCTAGCGACCACATATTTTGAATAATCAGCAACAATAACATTTCGGGTCAACTTTTCTAATACAAGTGCGTTATGGGAAGCTGGGAGAATTCAAAACACTTAAATTCTACATTCTGAAGAAAAAGAAACTACTTACATGCTGTAATGCTTTCATTGCCTTTAATTGAGGCTCCGCCCAGGAAAAGTATCTCAGCAAATCAACCACCTGAAAGCACAGAACTCATTTAGCTCCACTGACAGCAGTTTGGCAAACATAACCAAGGCCTTCTTCCAGGACTTGGAATGACTCTTAGGCGTGTGCAATGGGGCCCAGGTTGAGGGGCAGTGGGCATCAGATAGCCCACACTACAGCACCAACAGAGGAGCAAGGTGTGGCTATTTAACTTTACATCAACCACAACCACAGAAGAGAAGTTCAGTTCAAGCGCTCAACTGCATGAAGGGGCAGAGAGAACATGCCCATCACTGCAGGAAGTTCAGTAGGTCAGCCAGCACTGGTTTGGAAAGAAACACAAGCATACGATAGAGGAAAAATAAAGTGCCGTATATACTCGAGTATAAGCCAGCCCAAATATCAGCTGAGGCACCTAATTTTACCACAAAAACGGCATTAGAAATATGCCAAAAACTCGACTTATACACAAGTATATACAGTATATTCTCATAAGAAAAAAAGTTAGAAAAGTAGGGTATAGAGATAAGAAGTCAGCTCAGGAACAAACTAAATTTTCCACGAACTATCTGAAGTCCCCATGTATATGTATGCCCTTTATGGGAAGGAGGGTTTTGCCATCTGATGAATGCTGCCAACTGTAAAACTTGACCAACTATGCTGTCCTGCACAGGAAGGGAGTCTTCAGAACAGCAAGGGGCTTAGAATGTCACACTAAGAAAGTGGCTTAATACAGTTTTGAAAGACTTTAGCAAAGTAGAGTAACCACTGAGGACAGTTTTTAACAAATTAGATAAACATTTAAATCTTAAAAACAGCATGAGATGATTTTGAAAAGCAATGGAACAGTTAAAAAACACTAAGTAGGAAGCAACAAGTTAGATAATAAATCAACTTCTAAGAATTGCACATCTCCAACTACAAAGGCTTAAAGTTATTCGAGCCTTCACTCAAGCTCTTGAGAAACGGAGAACTCGGTGCATTTAGTAACTAAATCTACAGATTTACTGCCTACCTTTCCCCAAAACTTCTCTCCAGATTCACACTGCTCCCTGATTGATTTTCCACTGACACTCTGAAACCCCTCTCCTCCCCTTTCAAGCCTGCATGTGCACACACAGGTTGTATTTTGTTTTAGTAGCAAACTTACTCTCATGAAGTTCACACACAGTGAAACGACAGGGCAGAGTAGCATCCCCTCCCTCTAGCATTTCTGAGGCTACACTCTTCATGGACCAGACTACTTTCTCCCTCAGAGGGGAGGGTGCATTCACACTGCTCATCTCCAACACACCACCAACCTCCCTGCCATCCAGCCAACTGCAACTCGGCGACCCTTTAGGACAGCGTGGAACTGTCTCCCCAAGGGATTCTAAGACTGTAACTCTTGATAAGTGTAGAAAACCTTCTTTCTCCCACAGAGTGGCTGGTGGTTTCCAATTGTGGACCCTGTGGTTTGCAGGCCAGTGTGAAATCACAACCACTATGCCAACAAGGCTTTTCGATTAGCAAACACTTCAAGGTTTAACTACCAGGCTGAAACCACTAGACTTCTGGCGGTTAGAGAAACGATTTACCAGACATTGTCTTTTTTTTCCTGGCTGATGAAAGCTTTATTTAGTGGCTTCATATGAAACCATTTATTCAAGGCTACTTCTTTTTTTTTAAATCATTTTATTGGGGGCTCATATAAATCTTATCACAATCCATCCACCCATCTATTGTGTCAAGCACATTTGTAGATCTGTTGCCATCATCATTCTCAAAACATTTGCTTTCTACTTGAGCCCTTGATATCAGCTCATTTCCCCCTCCCTCCCCCCTCATGGATCCTTGATAATTTACAAATTATTATTATTTTGTCATATCTTAACACTGTCCAATGTCCCCCTTCACCCACTTTTCTGTTGCCCACCCCCCAGGGAGGAAGTTATATGTAGATCCTTGTAATTGGTTCCCCCTTTCTACCCCACGTTCCCTCCACCCTCCCGGTATTGCCACTCTCACTACTGGTCCTGAAGGGATCATCTGACCTGGATTCCCTGCGTTTCCAGTTCCTCTCTGTACCAATATGCATCCTCTGGTCTGGCCAGATTTGTAAGGTAGAATTGGGATCATGATAATGGGGGGAGGAAGCATTTAAGAACTAGAGGAAAGTTTTATGTTTCATCGCTGTTACCCTGCACCCTGACTGGCTCGTCTCCTCTCCATGACCCTTCTGTAAGGGTCCAATTGCCTACAGAGGGCTTTGGGTCTCCACTCTGCACTTATCCTCATTTACAATGATATGATTTTTTGTTCTTTGATGCCTGATATCTGATCCCCCTTCGACAACTTGTGGTCACACAGGCTGGTGTGCTTCTTCTATGTGGGTTTTGCTGCTTCTGAGCTAGATGGCCGCTTGTTTATCTTCAAGCCTTTAAGACCCTGGATCTTTTGAGAGCCAGGCACCATCAGCTTTCTTCACGTTTGCTTATGCACACATTTGTCTTCAGCAATCATGTTGGAAAATGTGCATCATGGAATGCCAATTTGATACAACAAAGAGTTCTTGCATTGAATAAGTACTTGAGTGGAGGTCCAATGTCCATCTGCTGCAAGGCTACTTTCATATTAAGTAGTAAATCCTGTTATTGCTGACTCGGGGGTAAGTTTACCTACAATGAGATACCGTGACCTCCTTTCTTAAGAAAAACTCAATCTAAAAACCATGTGAGAATGTCAGTGTGGTCAAAGCGGGTTGAATCGGAACTGTCAAGTTTTCTGCTAAAAAGGAAAGCTTTTACAGTTCCTGATTAACATGCCAACACAATGAGAAGTCTCACCAGCAGGCAAACAGACACGAAGCAGGACATTGGCGTGAGAAGGTTTGTGTGTAAACAAATAGAGGGATACCTACCTGTTCACTAGAGAAGTATCCGTGCACGTATTCGATTGCCTTTAGTTTGTACTCTGTCAGAACAGCCTAGAAATCATAGAAAACGGTATTAATACATGAAAGCAGCACAGTAATACAGATACCTACACTGCTGAATCACAACAGGAAAAATGACTGTGCCCCCTACCCGCCCCCAAGCCCCAGGGCTTCCCTACTCACTCCTTACAAAGGAACAAACCTGCAATGAGAATAATGCTAAAGGTAAGGTTCTGTTAAATATCACAATTCTATAAATGTGATGAAAGGATTTCAGAACATCACAAGCCCAACTAATTTGTGACTTTTAATGTTAACAGACAATGCTCATTCATCAGACAATTACTTCTTGAGCACTTATTACGTGCTAAGGGTAGTAGCCAAGCGCTGGGCTGCTTAAAATGTAGATGTGGCCATCTATTTCCATAAAGATACAGCCCCCTCCCCTACCAATTCAGACCCATAGCTTGATTTTCTGCAAGTAGGAATTGACTCGATGGCATTGGGTTCTAGAGGCTGCTCTCAAAAATCCCAGAGATGAGACAACCCCTGGGCCCTGAACTCAATCCTTGTATCTGTCCCTAGCTGGGCAGCTTGGCCTTTCAAACACCATGGAAACTTTCTCATCCGTCACCCATCTCAAGAGTTACCGCTGAGTTGGGAAACACTCAACATCCGAACCGACACGTAATAGGTGTTCGGTAGATGCTGCCTCCTCTTCACAGGAAACCAATCAGAAGCTGGGGGAGCAGTTGGCAGCTCTGACACAGCACTGTGTAGGGCAGCGGTAGTGAACATCTGGCCCAAGGGCAGAATCAAATCCAACCAGACTCACTGCCATGGAGTCCGTTCTGACTGGGGCAGAACTGCCTGTTTCCAAGACTCTTTATGGGAGTAGAAAGCCTGATCTTTCTCCTGTGGAGCGGCTGGTGGTTTTCAACGGCTCACCTGGTGGGGTTAAACAGCCCAATTCGTAACTACTATGCCAACGGGGCTGCTAGCAGTTAAAATCACCTGGCTCACCAAGGAGAGGCAGTTCCAGCCATCCCACTAGGGGTGGGTTAGTTAAATGTTCCACTGGTATGGCCCAGGAACCATGCTGTAAATACCTGGAAATGGCCTTAACAGCAAAAGCCCCCTGCCCTGCTCGAGCTGCCTGAGATCAGGTAAGCAAGGTGTGTGCTGTGCAGAGCAGCACCATCAAAACCTGGTGAACCACCAAGAGCAACCCGAACACAGAGCCGATTTGGACTCCTTTAACCCTGTCAAACTACTACTAATAATTAAAAAAAAACAATACACCCCCCCCCACCCCGCCACAAATCCTCTTGCTCACTATGAAGTCATTATAGCATTATTTGTGCTTTCCACCCAGGTAGTCTTGCTAGAAGTTATGAGAGAAACACCTAGGAGGCTTAGTCAGTCGTTGAACAGGGAAAACAAATGATTGTGGGGAGTTTGATCATACTGGACACCCAGCTGAGTGCTGATTTCTGGGCCAAGCCCCGGATCATGGTGACCTCCGCTATGTCCCATCACTGGCGCTGAGAGGACATGCTGTACAAACAAGGCTAGGGGCAAGACTGCTTGGGGGGTAGGGGGGCTATGTATGCAGCAGGGGCCAGGCTTAGCCTCTGTGAAATAAAGCCAGTCATACTTGCCTCACGGATCTGGAGAATCAAATCAAAGGGTGACTGAGAAAGTAGTGAAGCGCTCAATCGGTACTAGTGGCCCTTGAAGTTAGCAGCCCAGCACGTAACCCACTACACCCATCAGGACCTAATACCTCCTTTTAGCAGAGAAAAATATAACATGGTTTTCACTTCTCTCCCCTCTCCCACTTCCCATTTTCGTTTCCCAGTCTCTTCTTACTGGCCTTTGTTTTCCACCTGCCAGTGAGGCTGAGGACTAACCCAGCATCACCCCTCCACCTTGGGTGATGCTCGGGCAGAGACAGTAACTGGCTTAAAGTGAAAACTTACAAAATATAAGCGAACTTCTTTCAAACATTAGCAATATTTACACACGCTTACACTTTTATTAGGAGAAAGGGGCAATGCTGATGTATCTAATCATCTGGCAGAGAGTACAGGGAGCGTTTTGCAGAACGGAATGAAGTTGCCATCTCTTGTCAAGATCAACTGGATTTCTGGGAAGTTTATCCCCCTTATTGGTACTTATAAAGGTGGCACTGACACCATACTTCCAAGGAAGAAATTAAGTAAACAGACTTGCCTTCCAAAAGCAGAAATCTACCAATCTACCTGACCACACATTTTGCCATAACAGTGTTAAAAAAATAATTTTGAACAGTGTGGCAAATTTACATATACAGCTAGAAACCAGGCTTTTTAGTGCCTATCTAAATTCAACAAATCGGTGGGTTTGCAAAAGCAGAAATTCTCAACAGAGAATGTTCAATACATCAGCACTGCAAGCTTAATGTAACAGGCAAATTTGGGCTAATTTTTAGATATGAAGGATGAAAAAAGAAAATCTGATTACGAAAGAAAAGCTTTATAAACAGTGAAGAAACTCGATGAGTTCAGACAATTTAAATCGACTAGAGTAAGTAGCAGAGGCATGGTAATTTATTCCCCGTACCTCTAGGATTTAAAGATATGTAAATACAGAATGGCTGGGAGGCCTAACTAAAGCACCTTTCCTTAAAAAACAAAGGTACAGTTCTAAGTCCTTTCAGCTTTAAATGGAAGTTTTTACACCTAAGAAGACAATCCTTGTCGTCATCCCCATCTCCCCAAATCTTAAAATTAGCAAGAGAATGGAAGTTGAGTGGTTCCTCCAACCTGTGACACTCCAAACTCCACTTCTCTAGAGGGCACTAATTCCGGTCCAGCCAAGGTAGCAATACTATTTTGTTATTAACACGCAGATTCCAATACCTATGCCATAATCACAGGTACCGTTAAAAGAAATCCGGATCTCCAGTGTTCACTCACTTGGGCTAGGAATGAAAAGACCCGGAAACTAAATTCCACGGTATTCATTCACTCACCGACGACAGCACTATTTGCAAAGCTGGCTTTAGAGCCACCCGCGTCTGACTCCGGGTTCCAGCTCACAGCGACCCCCGCCTTCGTTTCTGACCAGAATCCCCACGATGCCGCACGTATTGTCCAGACGTAGGAAGCGTTATTTCACCATGCTATTTGCAACGTGAAGTGCAACGTCAGCAACGTGTCTAAACCCCAAACCTTGCCAATTCTAGGGCTCACTTTATGCAACGCAAAGAGAACAAAAAAGTACAATGGCTAACTCTCGAAGGTAATGCAAGGGATCAAGGGCGCTTACCTTTCTTATTTCATCCAGCACCGTTTCAAAGGACTTTTTGTCCATCTTGAGGCGTTTTTACAACAGCTACACTTTCGAGGACAAAACGTTCATGCCCCGTGGATGGTAAAAATGTTTGCAGTTAATGAGTCGACGGGTTTCCAGAGGCAGAAAGGGCAGTTAGAGGCAGGAGCACTGCAAAAATGGCCAAAGACGAAGACTTGGGAAAAGTTTTTAATGGAACAAAAAGCAGTCGCGTCGGGGCGTCAGCGGTGCCCAGCTTCTGCGCCCAAAGCTGCGGGGCAGCTGGGGGACCGGCCGGGTCCACCTGGCGGCGCGGATCAGCCTGGGGCTCTGGTCCGGGAGGCGGGGGCCGACGCGTCGCCGGGAAGGTCGCGGAGCCTCTGCACCCGGCGTGGCCGCGCCGGAAGGAAAGAGCTGGCGGCCTGGCGGCCCACCCCTGCGCCTGGGCCGCGTCCTCAGCGCCGCGAGCCCGGACTCATGGCCCGGCAGCGCTCAGCCCCAGCCGTTCGGCCGACTGCTCGGTCCCGCGCCCGGGGAGGCTCTTTGTTATCAGCTGCCGCGGCTTCCGGGAGCGGGCCGGCGGCCGGGGAGACTCGGGAGCCGACGCAGGTGGGTACGGCCACAACTAAGGGGACTCCGGAACACCGCAGCGCTGGTCCCAACAGGCGCCCGGCCGGGGCACCCTTCTAACCCCCCACCCGCAAATGGGGGCCTTCGGTGATGGCCGTCGCACCCGCCACGCACACACGCTGCGCCGCCCGTTTGGGCCGCGCTTTCCCGAAAACCCGCGGACGAGGGTCCTGATGTGGGAATGTAGGCGTCCGCTGCGGATGCCTGTAGGCTTCGGATTCCACGCACCCCAAATCCCTGCCTAGACCCGGTCGATCACTTTTAGAGCGTCACTCTCCTCGTGCATCAGAATGGCACGCGCGTTGGTGTTGAGGTTTCCGTCCGAATGTAAAAGGGACGGGCTGCGAGTGGCGAAGGCACGGCTGCGGGCGCCCCGAGACGGGGAGAAGGACGTCCACGGCTTGGACCGCCCCTGGGGGCGGGGAAGTGCCGTCACGAGCCTGTCACGGGGCACCGGCCAGGGGCGGGGCTCTGGTGACGCGCCCTCGGGTCGCAGTGGGGTCTGCGAGGTTGCTCGGTCTCCGGGTTTCCGCTCCGTCGGTCGCCCCCTCAGGGAGTGGCTGCGGGAGGTGCACGGTCGGCCCGGGGCTGACACGACCCGCGCCGGGACGCTGGCGACCCTGTCACGCGCCCCGGGTGGTTCGCCTCTCATGGCGAGGTTCTGGGTCTGCGCGGCCGCCGCCGTCTTCTCGCTGGCGTTTCTGATTCTGCACTCCTGCTACTGCGGCCCTCCAGTGAGTCCGGCGACTCGGGGCGAGGGCGAGGGGGGCGGCGTTGGGGGGCGACGACGTTACCTTGGAAGGTAGCGTTTGCACCGCGTCCTTTTCCCGACTTCCTCTTTTACCCACCCCCACCCCCATTCCTAAGTAATTTCGAGATCTGTACGGTGGTCGTTTTAATGTTCTGTAGAAATGATTCTTGGGGAACCTGGGTACGCGTGTCCGTGTTTTGTTTTTAAAACACTGCGTGCTGAATCCCGATTTTCCGCCCTTTAAGATGTTAAGGAGCTTTGTTTTTGTAAATCGCTGGACCCCCGAGAAACCCCTTTACCGACTGGACCTGGACTGGCCGAAGTATTCCGAAATGTTCACTGGAACACCGTTCTGCGTTGCGGTTGATTCAGCCAACGGGTTGGTTTACGTCGCCCAAGTAAGTAAGCCCCAGGCGCTGTGGTTGCAGTTGGACCGGGAGAGTCTTCCTCTTGTCACCGCACGTACTCTCTTGCCGCAAACGTGGGATTTGTTTTCCAGCCATCCTTTTTGAAAGTGTGATGTTAATATTTGGCGTGGAGGATGGGTTTGAAACAGTACTAAAAATTCACAGTTAAGCCTTACTTGTTACAGTCCCCTTCCCCCCTGCCAACGTTAAGATTCCTTTTCTTAAAGCCAATGCCATCTAAGCAGTTATTTTTGTATGCCTCTAGAGAGGGGATAACATCCCAAAGATCTTAGTGTTGTCAGAGGACGGACATTTACTACGAGCCTGGAATTACACAGTTGACACACCTCATGGCATGTTTGCAGCCAGCACACCATACGAACAAACTGTCTGGATCACGGATGTAGGAAGTGGTACGTGTAGCAATGTTTCTTACACCCTGTCGCTAGAAATCACATCTGTGCCCATGTGCTTGCTCTCCACTCTAAAATCTGAATTGCTGAATAGAATCTTACTCCTCTAAACAGTCCAGTGCTTCACAAACTCACTTCTTTCCAACAGTCTTTCATTTGCCCTCAGCAGAATCAAGAAACTTAAAAGGGCAGCTCTGATTGTTAGTGGGTTTTCATCTTGTTTCCCACGGGACTTTTCTTTTCCATTTCCGACCATGAGCTGCTCTCCTCGTTGAGATAACTAATGCGGTTGGTTGAAGACAGGCAGGATGGCACTCTCCAAAGTTGGATGGAAGACTGGGAACCTGACCACTACAGTTTGCTTTCAAATGCGATGCTGCTGAGATATCCAGACTCCTTGATTGCCCCAAAGTGCAAACATTTGCAGAAATTGGTGTCGATGTTTTTGAAATCCCACTGACGGCAGCATGTCTGCATGCAAATATTTTTAGTAGCCGATGCTGAAAAGAAAAATAAGCAAAATTGAGTTTATAACTTTGGGGGACTTTGCAGAGAAGCAGTTTTCATGTGTTTATGACTCTGGACACGGCAGTACCAGAGATAGTCTGGCCTTACCTTAGGCTATCAGAAAGATATGGGCAGTCAAGAACAAGCTTTCTAATAATCCTTAGCCCAGCTAAATGTACAACTTGAAGGAAATCTGTTTGCTCCTGTCTGGCTAATTCCAGTCACTCTTGCTAATTTTTTAATGAATGAGGTTTCAGGGGGATTCTACTGCTAAAGGCCTTTACTTTTTACTGCGTTCCATCTGTCTTAGTCCTGGTCGACTAGAAAAACAAATCCAGAGACGTGTGTGTGTGTGTGTGTGTGTGTGTGTGTGTGTGTGTGTAAAAGAGAGCTTGATATAAATTGTATATTGAGAAAATATCCAGCCCAGTCCAGATCAAGTCCATAAGTCCGATATTAGCCCATATGTCCGATACTAGTCCAGAAACTCCTCTTTAGACTCACACAACACATGCCATGATGCCGAATGCAGGAAGTGCACAGGCCGGTGGGTGAAAATTCTTGTAGAGCCAATGGCAGTGGAAGCATCTCCAGGGCTCTGGCTGCCATCAGCATGACTCCATGTGGCTTGTCAACAGGAATGTGTAGCAGAGAGAGAGTGTGTGTCCTGCTTCCATGGAGGAAGAAAGGAAGTTCTCAGAATCCTCATGAGAAGGCCATGCCAACAAGGAGGCATCTGGATGTGACCTGATTGACAGGCCAGACTCCACCCCCTCCTTAATATCCTCAAGTTGACACCAGATTATGTAACTACCACACCATCCATGTGATTTTATTTTTTTAATAAAAGACTTCCCTTGAATACCAGAGTTGAAAGAACATGGATCTGTGCCACCTATAGATCCGTAGACAGTTTTTGCATTCCTGTTTTTCAAAGAATGTTCTCACCAATAGAAGGGTGAGCATTTAAAAAACATGCTTTATGTTTATTAGCCCTTGCTAATTCTTGGGAAACATAGGGATTGTCTTTTTTTAAATAATACTGTCTTTTTTTATTCTACAAACATTAGCAAAACCCCAAAGCCAAATATAATAAATGTATTTTCATGATACAATCATAATGCATACCATTCAATTTATCTATTTTTGAGGCTTGTAACGAGGCCTTTTTTTAAAAAAATAGCTCAGAGGAGACACAATTATGATGTTAGTTTACTTCTTTTACTAAAATAAGTCAGTGTGTGTACCACACCATGAAAAAGGCCTCCCCAAATCACAGTGGTTCCACAGAAGGTAGGACCTGAGTCCAGAGTCCGTGGGCAGGCAGGCATTCAGAAGGTGGGGAGGAGTGGGGGGGCGCTGGCTCTCCATGCCTGAGATGTGGCTCCGGGCTCTTGCTATCTACAAGTGACAGGTAGGGGACAAATTTCAAAACAAACTCACTGCCATCTAGTCCATTCTGACTCATGGCGACCCTGCAAGGCAGGGTAGAACTGCCCCTGTGGGTTTCTCAGACTAACCCTTTAGAGAGTAGAAAGCCTTATCTTTGTCCTGGTGGTTTTGAACTACTGACCTCGAGGTTGGCAGCCCAATTCCATAACCACTGTGCTACCAGGGTTCCTGGATAAGGGACAAGGCACTTATAAAAAGCTGGTTCAGTTTAAGTAGGTTTGGAACCACACACCTGTTGCATAGTGTGGCGTTGATTCCAGCTTGTAGCAACCCTATGACGAGAGAACTGTCCCAGAAAGTTATGCGGTTCTAGGCTGTTGTCTTCATAGTAGCAGACTGCCACATCTTTCTCCCACAGAGCGGCTCCCTAAGAAACCTCCATCATGCAATTGGCTTTTTGAAATTGCTTCTAATCAGTCATTTGTTCTTGTATGCCTTCAAAGTGATTTCTACTAACTTCTTATTACTTTCCCCTATTTATTAGTATTTGTCTTTATACTTTGGTTTGTAAGATAATTTTAACAGAATGAGCTTTTAATGTGAGAAGATAGTAGTGATTTAGAAAGATCATTTTCTAAGGTAAGAAAAATTAGTTGAAAGTTCAATTTATTTTAAGCTAAACTTTTAAAATTTATTTTGATTTATTTAAGTAGTTAAAAGTCATCTGCATCTTAGAGAACATTTTGCATGACCTACTGAAATTCAAGATCAGGATTCCACCTATTGAACTAATCATTTTCAAATAGGCATTGCTAGTCTTGCGTTGCTTTGGTGTGCTTATTCAAGCTCACGAGATTCAAGAAGAAAATGGTAACAAAGAATTTCTTGACATCACTGGATTTCTGTCCCAAAAGCTGACTGCCACCAAGTCAATTCTCAGTCACAGGCTAGAGGACAGAGTGGAACTCCCCCTGGGATTTCTGAGACTAACTCTAAAAGGGAATGGAAAGCCCTGGTTTTCCTCCCTCAGAGCTGCGGGTAGTTTTGAACTGCTGAGCTTGCAGTGAGAAGTCCGACACATAACCACTATGCGCCCACCAGGGCTCTGGATTTCTGTATAGCTTCTTGCTCATGTAATTTGAAGTTTACCTATTTTGAAAGTAGCTAACACTTCAATTCATGGACAAATGACTGTACCTAACGAAGAGCCTCTCTTGCTTTGCCAACTCTAGCATGTAATTATCTAAGGCTAGCAACTACTTATTACTGTTGAATCCTATCTGCTTTTTATTACTAGCTCCCTGGTGATAAAGTGGCACCAAGGAGCTGGTAATAATGGTTGGCAGTTCAAAACCGCCAGCAGCTCCAAGGGAGAAAGACGGGGCTTTTTATTTCCGTAAACAGTTATGGTCTCAGAAACCCACAAGAGAAGGGCACTGTGAGTCAGCATTGACTCGATGGCAGCAAGTTTGTCTTCTTTAATCTGAAAAAATAGCAATGTTTGTACAGTAGTTAACATTTGTGCATGTCTACTTTTACAGGATCCTTTGGTCATACTGTTAAAATGTACAATTCCTTTGGTGACCTTGTTCAAGTCTTGGGCACCCCAGGCAAAAAAGGCACAGACTTGAATCCCCTGCAGTTTGACAACCCTGCAGAATTGTACATTGAGGATACGGGAGAGATTTACATTGTGGATGGAGATGGAGGGCTGAATAACAGACTGTTGAAGCTGTCCCCAGGTATGTGGCCTAACCTTGGTGTTCTGAGAACATCTTAAGTTGCGTTTAGAATTTGAACTCTGTATAGAAGGCTCAAATACATGCCTAGAAGTAAGCTAGGGAGTAAATTCTTGGGATGGCCAAGAATAAATGATCCTGAGTATAGGCCTGTTTATTCTCCACCAGAATACATAGGCCTGTTTATTCTTCATTCAAGTGTTTCCTCCAAAATCAAGTGGAGGCATAGGCATTTACAGTGGACTGGAGAGGAGTGGGTATTCTGTGCTATTGGAGAAGTAGGACCCGGCTTGAGGGAAGTGGTTCTTGAACTCCAGTGCTTTGGTAGGGAGGGCTAGGGTGTGAGGGGAGCGCTCCTGGAGAACTAGGTCAGAGGGACTCATCGTTAGCCTGGCCTCTAGGAAAGGAGTTGGAGATGTTATTTGAACAGTGGAAACTACAATTTGGGATTTATTTGAAAGCGTATCTAAGGGTTTGAAAGGCTATTTCTGCTTACAAAGAATGTGAGGTTTTTAGTTGAAACAAAGGTGCTGGAGGCAGAGGTTGTAAGCTACAGTGCAACATCCGGATCTTGTTGGCGAGCTTGCACACCTGGAGGCTGTGTACGTTTATCACCCAATAACTGCAATAACTGATGTTTGGTTAGTAGCAGTGAGAGTGGGTGGTGATGAAGAAAAATGCAAGAAGCCAAATTCTTGGATAAAACTAACAACTAATTTTTTTAATTTAAAGAAACATTGGGTTTACTCAATTTGACAGTGACAACAACCCCAACCTCCAACCCTTTTTTTCCCTTTGTTAAAAATATGGTTACTAAAAGTTGATGTAGCAAGTTAGGTAACCTCAGAGCCCTCACAAATGGATGAGTGACAGTGGCATGTTCTAGTGGGTCAACATTCCAAGTGTGTTGTGATGGTTCTAGTTCTGCTCTTCTTTCCCTCTGTCCTTGTCTCCTATCTTGTCTTCCTTGCTTGAGATTCAATGTTGAACTTTGCACTTAACCCGATGGTTTTGTGTGACAGCACTCACCTAATGGGTTGTCTTTCATTTTGTGTGCTGTGCTGCTTTTCTGCTCAAAAGTGATCTTGGGATAGTTTTGGCTTAAGGTTTTAAAAGTGTCAGCAGATGGTCCAGGTGGCCTTTTTTAAGAGTTTGAGTTTTGTTTACATTTTTCTCGCATTCTGTCTGGGCTGATCTGTAGTGATTCCGGTCATATCAGTCAGTGGTGGAGTCCAGGGACTATCTAGTTCTCTAGTCTCAGTGTAGTGTGGTGGTGGCTGGTGTAGACTGTCAGCTTCATAGACTTGTTTCTTCTCTGAGATCTTGGTCACCTTCTGACTCTTTGGCACTGGATGAGTATAGACTAATAGATGTTTGCTCCAAAGCTCTGGGGACCTCAGATGCTACTCACATCACTAGGGTGCAGAACATAAACTGTGTTACCCCAACTGACTGAACTGTCCTATGATACTGGTCCTAAGCTTCCAAATTTAGTTGTCATGTTTGGTTTGGCTCAGTCTGAGAGTATCAGTAGTGTCTTCAGTGAATATACTTCCTTTCTGTATTTACACACATATGTAAACAGCTGTACCTAACTCTGTATACCCACACCTATTCTTATCTACATATGATTCTAGTCTCAATGTTTTGTCTGTTAGTGTCGTTGCTCTCTCATACCAGAGGTCTTTAAAAAGTTCATGGCAAATGCCTGTTAGGAAAAGAAACTGTGCCTGGAATTCCATTTCCTTCTTTTGCACCCAAGGAAACTCATACCAACTTACTGTAACGTGTCTAAACAAGAGCTAGTGTGAGGTACTCAAAAGGATAAGACATCGGTTTGAAAAGAGCTCTTATTAGACCAATGTGAGTTCTGTTAAAATGAAAGCAAAGCAGACATCAAACTGATGGAGAAGCTTGGGTAAAAGAATGGGGAAATGGATGCCGAACAGAAAGTACAGGAGGAAACGCCCCAGAGCAATCATCAGCTCACAAATGGAGAGCTCATTTTAAGGACAAGAGATGCTGTTGAAGACCATCCACATCAATGTTCAAGGAAGCGATCTTGTTCCTACCCTAATTGAAGAGGAGCTACTGCCAACACCTTAGACCTCTCATCTGCATGGGCTCAGTCACACAATTCTAACTGGAAAATGTGAAACTTTCTGCCCAGTGGCTACCAAAGCGGTTGCACCCAGAGCAGCTGCTGAGCAGAGTTTTTATGGGGATTTTTAACAAGTGGAATGACGAGCTGAAGCATTTCTTGGGAAACGTGCAACAGGAGATGACACAGGGCCTGACCAGTAGGATCCCAAAGAGAAAACGCCGTCAAAGCAAAGACCGCCAAGGGGCGATGCGGTCAGAGAAAAGTGCAGCGTCAGGAGCACAGGTGATGGCAAGAGCTTTTGGTAACACTCAAGGCGTTTTGCTTGTTGACCTCCTGGAGGGCCAAGGAATGATAACAACTGCTTACTGTGAGAGTGTTTGAGAAAGTTAGCCACAGCGTGGGCAGAAAATGCCCAGAGAAGCGCCACCAGAAAGCCCTTCTCTCCCCCAGCAACGTTCCTGCTGCTCATTCCGCTCCTCGTGCCTTGCTTCACGTACATGGAGCGATTTTGTGAGGGTTTCTGTGGGAAATTCTTTGGCATCTACCACACAGTCCTGATTCGATGCCTTCTGACTTCTTTTGTTTCCAAACCTTAAAGCACCCTTAAAAGGCACCCATTTTTTCTTCAGTTAATAATATAAAGGAGACTGTGTTAACATGGTTAAATTCCCTGGACCACCAGTTCTTTAGAGATAGAGTCAGTGGTTACTATCATCACTTACTTGAACTTGATGGAGCTTATATTGAAGAAGTTTATATTTAAAACTTTTAATCTTTAAGATCCATTTTTCCAGAAACTTCCAGAACCCTTCATATAGGTCGAGTTCTTTAGTACAGGCATCTTAGAAACAACTCGATGTAGGAAACAGGTTGAATATGGGAGTCATTAGGTGCTGTAGGCTGATTTCAACTCCCAGCAAGCCCACGTGCCCGAGCAGAACTCCGTGGGCTCTCTGGGCTGTGGCTCGGTTTTCTCTAGGAGCAGATTACCAGGGCCTGCTGTCACCTGGAGAGCCACTGGGTGCATTCGAACTGCCAGCCTTTTGGTATCAGCCAAAATTTTAAGCCATTGCACCAGGAGGCAAACAGTGAAACAATTTTTATCACAAGAAAGGTGATAGCAAATAAGAAAGTTATAAAGAAAACCAGTTTAAAGGTGAGGATGTTCTGAAACTTAAATTGAATGATTTTAAGACAGTCATGAAAAACATGACGTGGCAATAATAATTGGAGAAGCAGATGCATTGCTAAAGCAGAGAAGGGGTGTGTGTGTGTGTCTCTGTGTGAGAATAATAATTGGAGAAGCAGATGCATTGCTAAAGCAGAGAAGGAGTGTGTGTGTGTG